TATTAGTATTTCTTCTGACGATAAATATAGTTCGGTAATGTTCATATGTAACTTATTACATTAAATTATGTATTACTGTAAATTATCGACCATTGAAAAGGCTTATGAGTATGATCTTTTTTATAGGATAATCCTGTAAACAAGCCGACGAATCACGATGGTAAGCAATTGACGCCACCCATGGACACTAGAGGCGTTACAAATACTTTACTGGCCTTTTGGGGATTAGGAATTTTAGGAATGTTCGGGACTCAGGGAAATAGGATATTGGGGAAGGGGATTGGTTGGGGGGCCTTCGGTTACCTCACTCACACTACGAATCAAAACGCAAGCGTTGTTTCATGTCGGTTTCATGTGAGATCGTGGTATCACTCCGGTCGAGCCGACTCATTCGTGCTTAACCATGGCTCTCCCACACTTAAATGTTCAGTACGCACTATAAATTGCACTAGATATCAAACCCTTATTCAGGTCATTACCGACCCAAGTTACGTAAAATATTTCTATCTTTTTTAAACAATAGAAGAGATATGTTTGACCTGATTATATCTATTGCATTTCTATGCTTAAGTGACCCGAAGAGTAACTGAGCGGCCGTTATCGACAACCATAGACTTACATACAGCCTTATGGAAATTTTTTCTATGATATAGAACACTAGATGTGCCCTGATAACGACTGATAAGATTGTTTAGGCTTATTAAAGTCAATATACGCGTGAACAATAAATATTTTGTTCTATAGTACGTATTAGATTAGTTGACCCTGCTGATATGAATGATGACGATCGTGGTTTCTGTTTGTTTGTTTTGTTTATGTATGTGACCTTTTAGTGTTTGTCATGTTAATTGTGAGCGCTGAATATATAAAATGATATTCTCAATGGCTTTTTGATTTTTTTTAACATAACATGACGCCTTTTATCCCCGAATGTGTAGGCAGAGGTGGACATTACGGTGCTATGGTTGTTACATTTTATGTAACAACTTTTCACTGTTTATGTTGTGAGTCCCATGTAATGGGGGGTGAGTCTATTGCCATATACCGGACCTAAACTTATTTTTTTAAATGTGACTTTATTAGAGGTTTGGTTACCAGTAGGAAATTAATTATTGATCTATTTAGTCTTCTAAAGTATCGGTCTACGGTCTCATAAACACAACATAATAACGGTTTCTTTGAATAATTCATTATTGAGATTATATTTGCCTCAAAAGTTTATTTTAAGGTAAGTTCCATAGTAGTCTGTTGTTCACGCCTGTTTCCCATGGAGGTAGCCATGGGAAACAGGCGTGAAGTTATGAATATGTCAAAACATTATACTTGTCCATTCAGTATTCTTCCTTTTTAGTGCAACCTTTTTATGTTTACTAACCCAATTGTTTTGTCCTTTCAGCTACTAACAACTAAAAACTACCGCAAAGTTAAGTTCGACGGTCCAATAATTTTGCCGTCACCACTCGACACTGGCAGTATAGTCGACAACACCATTTTGGAGGCTCGGTTGCCAAAGAAGAAAAAAAAATAGTGCAACCTTCTTAACTCCATCCATACAAACTATATCAGTGTTTAAAACCACGGGGCAGACAGCGTGCGTCCCACAGTTCTTACGTTTCTTGCCCGGCACGTGCGCCGGACAGCGCTCCCGTCTGGTCCGGTTACGGCCGTCCGGCTCGTATTGACATCTTGAGACTAGTTTTGACCAGTCATCGACTTTTATTATTATAAGTGTTCCTGGAATACAGACAAAGAGTTGAAGCAGAAACTTAATTGGACAAAAGCCTTTGTGTTCTTATTGGTTCATTGAATTAGTCTCTATTGTGGTATTTATAAAACAGAGTGGTAAATAAGTTTTCCTATATATTGCTCGGAAATAGAGATTCGATCTACATAGTAATATAAAATGATTGCCTCTTTGGCCGAGTGGTCGCAAGTGCGACTGCCGGGCAAGGGGTCCCGGGTTCGATTTCCGAGTCGGGCAAAGAATTACTGGTTAAAAAATTCTCAATAGTAGCACGGAGTCTGGAATTGTGCCCGGTATATGGCAATAGACTCACCCCCAATACAATACATGGGACTCATAACATAAATAGAAAAAATTTGGGTGTTACATTGTACAGTGGCATAATGTGCAGCTCTGCCTACCCCTTCGGGGATAAAAGGCGTGTTAGTAATATGAATATTGAATAAATAATATGAAAATATTTATTAATATTATTACGTTTGGGATCTTTTTGTAATATGGCTACCGATCTTTCTATGTATGTATGCATAGTGTATGTCTTAAATTGGAAATATATTTACAATAGGGTTGATGACTAGTTTTATTTTAATGTCCGTCTGGTAGATTATTTTAAAACATTACACGTATTTTTTTTTACAGAAACGAATACTTTCGACGATATATGATGTGAAATGTCCCGTGATGTCACTTCTATGTACATTTTATACGTAGAGATGACGTTTTAGCCCCCACTCTTAAACTTTGATTCATTATATCTAAGTATCATTTTATTACACATCAAAATTAAAAAATACGTGTCTAATATTTTTTCATTACCTTACTGACGGACTAATTAGATTTTTAATTTTCATACCCCGCCATCATCCCTATTACGTACAAGTACAAGATAATGAGTTCAAGCCTTTTTATCAAAAAAAGAAGTAGAAGTAGAAAATCATTAAATGTCTTCTGCCACCTCGTGTCACTCTTACTGACTTTTTTGTTAATGGGACAAGCCCGCCACAACCTCCCAAAACCGCTGCAACTCCTGTAAGCCAGGATCTACAGTAGATACAACCATGATAACACCGGAACACTGAAGTCCGGCGCGTCCCAGGGACATGAGTATTATAAGAGGAGAAGAAGAAAAACTATGGTTTCCACTTCCCTCGGTGAATTACTGCAGGAGACAGAATTGAATTAAGCCTAAAGGCACAACGAAGAGACTGTGCAACTGGGTGAAGCCTAGTCGCCAAGCACCACGGAAATTTGACTTAAAACTAAGTGGGTCCTATGTGTGAGACTCTTACTGACTACCACTCCGTTCTTACTTCTGCTTCTAGCCGGAACCTGGTAATCAACATAATCGTGAAAATTATACAATTAGCATAGTTCGTAGCCCGAAATTTCAGTACTTAGTAGCTACATTATTATAGTTTGTGACTAAACTACTTAACTAACCCCGACCCCCAGTGCTAACAGGTGACCTAAATACCAACGCATCATATATCTCTATTACGTCACACTATGATAAAACGTTTCTCGTAGCCGTGACGTAGCGCGTAGCACTGCTACGCTGCTACAACACGTGCGGCACGGCATGACAGGTTGCTACGCAGGCCTACAATCGAATGTTTATTAATTTTTTCGTTATGAAAACTATTTACTTGGCTTTATGTAATTGTGTAGTGACGAGAAAGAAAATTACACTGGTTATATAGTACTCTTACCGCGAGTGTCGTAACAACACAAACGTAAAACTCACAGTCGAAAACAATAACCCATCTCAATTGGGTACTTACCAACTAGTCAAATTCAATAATTTTTTCGAACTGTCAAAAATGACAGTTTTCCATGATATTTAGACGAGATTTTAAATTGTGACGTCTAGCTTTTCTAGCGTCAAACAGCATACTTATTTCTTAAAAATTTGCTGGATAAAAAATTAAATTAAATTGGTCATAAATTCAATTGATGTAAGTGTGATTAATTTTTAATATTTTATTGTATTAATTTTTGAATAGTCGAAATAATTTATTGTTGATTAAAGAAAGGTTTTGAATTGGTCAAAATCTTAGGACAAAAATCAAGTTTTGACATTAGTTATTTTGAGTTTATGTCAAAAACTGAGATTTTATCAATATTGGATTGGGATTAGCTATCAATATCAGTCGTAAAATATTACACATACAACAGTAACTGGATAGCAGCGCTCTCTGATAAACCTGAACGTTTTGCAAACTGCCTGCTAAACTGCCTGAGAATAATCTCATGAGATCCTATGTATCCTTCATAGATCCACAAGGACCACATAAGAAGATCCTATGTAGAGGGGACCAATAGTCTACCCGTAGACTGTAACTTGATGTTAAGTGTAATAATGTATAAGTGTGGGAGAGCCATGCTTCGGCACGAATGGGCCGGCTCGACCGCAGTGATACCACTGCCTCATAGAAAACCGATGTGAAGCAACGCTTGCGTTGTGTTTCGTCGTGTGAGTGAGGTTACCGGAGGCCCAATTACTCTCCCCTTCCCCAATCTCCCCAATTCCTAAATCCCCAACGATCCTCAATGGTAATAATAATCTCCAAAATGGTAACGCCTCTGGTGTTCCAGGTGTCCATGGGCGGCGCCGATTGCTTACCATCAAGTGATCTGTCTGCTCGTTTACCGGCTTATGCCATTAAAAAAATTTAAAGTAATTATTTATTTGTTTTGTCTCAATTCAGGTCAGACGAGATGAATGTTTCGTAACAGCGAAAAATAATAAATGATAAAGTTCTTTACGATTGGTTTCTAGAGTAGGTCAGTAAATTGGCAGTTAACTGTGATGGACTACTCAGTTATGATTAGCCGGTACAATGACCTGACATGACCTATTTCCCTTAATCGATGAGCTTTATTCTACTAAATAAATAATGTATTCAGTACAAAAGGTACGTTCTTGTTGACAATGTAGCTGATTGTAATAAAATAACTATTACATCGATACATGACTATCAAAAGTCGTTTCTAATAAAAGGAAAGTTTTTATAACTATTTATCCTCATTAGCGTTGGCCGGATATTTTTTTATTTTACGCTTTGATTTGATGCATATTTAGAGGGAATAGTCATGTTACACGTGATATTCAAAACTGTCTTTCGGTTCAGGATTTTTTTTAATGGAAACAGCTGGTAAACGAACTAACGGATCAATTGATAGAAAGCATTCGGCGTCGCCCATGGACACCTATAGGACCAGAGACGTTACAAATGCGTTACCGGCCTTTTGGGGATTAGGAATTTAAGGATTATTGGGGATTAGGGGATTGTGGAGATTGGGGAGGGGGGTAATTGGGCCTCTGGTAACCTCAGTTACACGACGAAACACAACGCAAATGTTGTTTCACGTCGGTTTTCTGTGAGACCGTAGTATCACTCCGATCGAACCGATCCACTCACGTCGAAGCATGGCTCTCTCACACTTAAAAAGACAGAGAGTAAAACCTTCATAATATCCAGGTATTTATGATATTTTGGTTCCTTAACCCATTTCGTCTAAATGTTCGACTGACTTGTTTCTGGGAAAGCATGACTGATTTTTCTTTAAATTGCCAGGACAATAATACACAGGATTTATACTTATACAGCGTGTCCTTGGCAGTATGGATCTGGGTAAGAGGGTCCGGATCTTAACGGTTCCAAGCAAATATAAGAGAATGACCTCCTCTATGCCCCTGTTCAATTTGACACCCTGTACGTATATATTGTGCTGTCATTTCATGTATTACTGTCTCGAATATTATTCGCATGTGACAAGTGTTCATTATGTCTATATAGTATGTAGTAAGTACAAATACAATATACCTACCTATCTACTTCAATAACTCAGCACATATATAAAACACATACACATATTCAGTTAGTTTATTCATTAATTCCCTTAAGGAAAACGTAATTAACATTATATGTAAAACGTTTTAATTTTAATTATTATTATGAAAATATATCAATATAGTACTTATATTTATAATTTAATTACATTATTTATTATTATTAATTCAGTTAATTTGTTGGTTTGCCACACACCATATACGCACAAACTTTATGATATATTTCAAGACACATTCTGAATTAGTGTAATTAAAAGACAGGCAAATTAAAGGTCTAATTAATCTAGAGATTTTCAGGTCGTTCATAGTGTACCTAATAAAAAGACTATGTATGACTACGTAAGAACACTATCGGTTGCGCTGCAGCGCTTATAGACACATGCACACGCATATTTTTATCCGTGTAAGTGATGTTCACACGGCAATGCGTACGCACGCGTTTTTATGCACACTAATATGAAATTACTTACGCATTGCCGTGTGAACATCACTCACAGTGGCAGTGGACTTTTGACCTTTGACTGTACATTGCAGAAAGCTTCACAAAGGCTTAATGATAGAACCAAAAGTTTAATAAGGTCAAAAGACAATTTGACTACTGATACATAATGACATCTTAATTTTATGACATCTCTAATTTATTTTCTGACTTTACCTGTTTTAATGTATTTGAATTGTTTCCAATAATAATAATAATAATTTCAATATAATTGTTCATTAATGCGACATAAATTAATATTGTTAATACAATTTTATATTTCTACACCGGTAACGGTAGTATGTGTGGAACTCTGTTAATTTTAAGATCTGTGTGCACCATGTACTGAGAAATAAAGGACATTCATTCATTCAAGGGATAATGTATAAAAAGAAATGACTAACGGATTGGTTGAAAATATTTGACAAGTAACTATATGAATAAAAATGAAGTTCCGTTCGTTAGTCACGCTAAAACTCGAGAATGGGTAAACCGATATTACTAATTTTGTTCTTGAAATGTTCGTGGAAGTCCAGGGAAGGTTTAAAAGGTGAAAAACAACGGCAACGCATCTGTGATTCCTCTGGTGTTGCGGGTGTCCATGGGCGGCGTAGATCGTTTACCATCAGGTGATTCGTCTGCTCGTTTGCCTCCTATTCTATAAAAAAAATGTTTGATATTCATACCCTGCCATCATCTCTATTTAGGTATTGTCTAATCACTCACCCAAACTCAGTGTACAGACACCAGCAGGGCAAGATACTCCAATCTGTCCATTTTTCAACACATTATCTACTTTATACCGTGACAGTAAAGTCCAAAATGTAATAGAAAATTGATAGAAAGGGGTAGTTTAATGTACTAGCAACAACCTTCATCTGACTCGAACACTGCACATGCTATCAATAGCCGCAGGGCTCAGGTATTGACCTACATAGGCTGTAGGCTATCGAACACGTAATAATTAGCCAGCCGGGAATGAACCTCAGACGTGACGTATCGACGTTGAAGCTTTATTATCTAAAGGATAAGATCTTTGTTAAAATAAATTGGAGATGGTCTTGTGGCGTGACCTTGATTGGGAATGTTATATTCTTTATGTTATAAATATGTAGTTAATTGTATAAGTAAACTTATGGTTTTTGTTTATACGATTAGATAGAAATCATAGAGCGCCACCTAGGACCAAACTTACATACTTCTACAGATTCTATCACACACTTGAATCTGGATATATCATGTCTTTAGTCCTTTTTTTCTTTGAGGGGGAATAATCATCTATTACCTACCTTCTCCCGCCCGAGTGAGGCAAGAGGAAGTGTCAGACTCTTACTGACTAAAAACCACTCCTGTTCTTCGACCCATCATTAACAGCCTACAAATGCCCACTGCTGAGCAAAACCTCTTCTCAAACGGAGAAGGTTTGAGCATTAATCACCACGCTTGCTAAATGTGTCTTTAGTCTAAAGATTGGATTTGTTTGAAGCAGTCGTCCCCAACGGTGGTGGTGGTCCATTGACCACAAGTGGTCCACAGAAAAAAAATGTCCGCGAAATGAAAGAAATATAAGTTGTGTACTTAGTAGACAACATCTCTATACACTAAGTACCACTGTTTAAAGGTCGAATTAAATTAATAAAGAGACTACTGATTTGTATAATCGATAAGTCACTATTTTTATAAGAACAAACTCCACGACTCCAGAGAGAATCATACCACGGCCTCACAGAAAATCCAGGTGAAGCAACGGTTGCGCTGTGTTTCGTCGTGTGAGTGAGGTTACCGGAGGCCCAATTACTCCCCTCCCGTTACCCAATATTCCCAATTCTTGAATCCTCAACGATCCTGAAACTCCTAATCCCCAAAAGTAAAATCCGGTAACGCACTTGTAACGCCTCTGGTGTTTCAGGTGTCCATAGGCGACGCCGATCCATCTGATCATCAGGTTATCCGTTTGCTCGTTTACCGGCTTATATCATAAAAAGAACTGTAAGACCACATGAATAAAGTAATACTAATTAGTAGTCCCTGACGTAACTAGAATGATACGAGTGGTCCTTGACGAAGAAAAGGTTGAAAAACCCCGGGCCTAAACGCTGTTTTTGTCTAAATTGATTATAATTATAAATTACTGTTTCAAATTATCGACACATATTAGTAAATTAATAATTAGGTCTCAGTAAAGTCGGGTACTGCCTGGTAAAATACGATGACATAACTGAACATGTTATGTCAGTGAGGACAAACCCCAAACAACTATAATGTAATACTTACGTCACAACAATTATTGTTTTCGTATGAGTCAATTTAATATTGTACTTACCTAATACGTAGTAGGTATATAACGTTATTTTGTCGCTACAAATCAATAGCCATCATTATACTAGGGGCAGTCAGAGACGTGTATAACAACGTATAGAGTAGACAACTGCGTTGACGTGATGGAAATCAGATAAAATAGTCATGATTATCAACAGCATATAAACTGCCACTGCTGACCTAAGGCCTCTTTCCACACGGAGAAGGTTTGAGCATTATATAATCACCATGCTGGCTCTATGCGGGTTGGTGATTTCAAACTTATACTTAGAACAGTAACCCTAATTATTTCAATTTTATATATTTTAGTTTCATTCACGATATAAACCAATTAATAAAATTAAAATAAGAAAATCGAATTTTAGTTCAAAAAATTGGGAAATATAATGCAATTTCTACGTCACAAATCAGGTTTCTTCATAATGTTTTCCTTCACTGTTTGTCAGGTCAGTGGTGTCTAGAAGTAACTTTAGAAAGTACAACTCACACAGGAAAATGTCACACTGGTATCTGTCGTTGGTAGGTTTCGAACTCGTACCTGCATGCACGACATTAGTCTGGAGTTTGGCTCCAAAGTATTTGGGAGTTTGTCGATTTCGATTTATCAGAGAGCATTGCTGTCCAGTATCTGTGAAATGAGCAATCGTTAGCTTTTTAAAACCTGTAGGAAGGATAACAGTGGTAATAGAAATTGTATTTGACTCTGGCGTCACCACGGAATCTCAAAAGATCCTATCCGAAAATGTCAGTTTTCAAAAGTGCGACTGCGATATAAGTACCTGCATTTATTATCTATGACAGTACATAATATAAAACAGCTGTGGTGGACATGGCATGACCCGTGCCGTCGCCTCGCCTTGACCGATTTATTACTGTCCTGTCAATATATATGCTAATCTGACACAAAAGCTTTTTGTCATAAAATTCATTTTCAATTGCAGTGGGCATGATGGCTGGGGGTTATACAGTAGAAAAGCCTTCGTATCAGTGAAATTAAAATGTTGTAACTATAGTCCATCTGTTTAGGTAATTAACTAAAGGTAAACAAAGAAAACCACGTGACACAGAGATACTTAACCTACTATTACTTCAAATATTTCTCGTGTTTTAATTTTAACTAAATTCACTTTAAAATCGTTCATTTGTCATACACACACATACAAGTACAAATGCCTAAATCGTACAAGAGCCTAGCCTATGGGTCTATTTCATTATCATGTTTAAATAGAAACTATTCTGAATCTGATGTACGGACTTCTTTCTTGTACGGATATGTGTCTTTGGGCCAAGTTTCTTCAATATATTTGAACACATTAATTACAAACGATGAATAACCTAAACTTAAATAACTTAATAACAAAAACAAAACAAAGAAACAAGATAAATTCAACAAAATAGGAACGCGAGCGCAAACGACGAGAGAGCTGTCAATGGCGCCTGATTAACCGACTAAACGTAATACACGCTACTTTCATTGTCGCGCTACATCTTAGTTGTACTCTTTAATTTGACAACATTGTTTTGCTTCGTTCTTAAAGAAACGTTTTGGATACCTGGGATTTTAGGCTCTTTATGGTGTCTATTGTAATGAAATATTAAATTATTTAATAAATGTTATTAAATTAATATCCTCAAGCAGATATATATAATATT